TCGGCTCCTCTTCACTTGTCTCACATATACACCATTTGTAAAATGATCTTTATTTGTGCTCAGTTTGTCACGTTCCGGCCTCCATTCGGGTGCAATGCAGATTAAAGCAGAACTCCAGCCAAGAGATGCAATGTATGTCCCCATTAAATACCCCACTTCCCGGTAAAGGAAGGTTCATTGTTAGAAGTTGTAGCAACGCTGTGTAAATCTCAGGACTGGATGGGCAGAAATGGAAATCCCCTGGCAGGTCAGCAGCTCCATTGGCGTGTGTATGGCGTGTTTAGTTGTGTGTCCGGAGTTCTGATGTAATACTTTATTATCCTGGCCTAGAGATATGCATGCGTGTTCCAGGTCGCAGAGCACGGTGACGGCAGCCATGGTGGATCTCATACTTCCCTTGTGACAGGTTTACCTCAAGAGCAGCTGCAGCAAAGGATTCTGGGAAAATGTCACAATTGTCACAACTCATTTTCTCCTGACAACTGCTGGAAGCCGTGTCACCTCTTTGTGTCAGTGAGAGGTTAAAGGATCCGCCGGCAACCATAGGGGCCAATATGAGAGCAGAATTCCAAGGATCCTCTGAGGGAGGTTGTCACATATCACGGCTCCTTCTTCTCCCCCCGAGATCCCCCGTCTGCCAATTAAACTGCTTCTTCTTTGTGAGCTGCACTGTGATGTCATGCCTGACCACCATGCCTGACACCTCGCAGTGACAGATCTCCTCTGATACCCCCAATGTGTCCCTGTGCTGAGTTCCCGGCTGTGCCCATTATGAGGGGCCCCCACCATCCCTGTGCCCATTATGAGGGGCCCCCCCCATCCCTGTGCTGAGTTCCCGGGTCTATACACCCGCTGTGCCCATTATGAGGGCCCCCCACCATCCTTGTGCTGAGTTCCCGGGTCTGTCCCCCGGCTGTGCCCATTATGAGGGGCCCCCCCCATCCCTGTGCTGAGTTCCCGGGTCTATACACCCGCTGTGCCCATTATGAGGGCCCCCCACCATCCTTGTGCTGAGTTCCCGGGTCTGTCCCCCGGCTGTGCCCATTATGAGGGGCCCCCCCCATCCCTGTGCTGAGTTCCCGGGTCTATACACCCGCTGTGCCCATTATGAGGGCCCCCCACCATCCTTGTGCTGAGTTCCCGGGTCTGTCCCCCGGCTGTGCCCATTATGAGGGGCCCCCCCCATCCCTGTGCTGAGTTCCCGGGTCTATACACCCGCTGTGCCCATTATGAGGGCCCCCCACCATCCTTGTGCTGAGTTCCCGGGTCTGTCCCCCGGCTGTGCCCATTATGAGGGGCCCCCCCCATCCCTGTGCTGAGTTCCCGGGTCTATACACCCGCTGTGCCCATTATGAGGGCCCCCCACCATCCTTGTGCTGAGTTCCCGGGTCTGTCCCCCGGCTGTGCCCATTATGAGGGGCCCCCCCCATCCCTGTGCTGAGTTCCCGGGTCTATACACCCGCTGTGCCCATTATGAGGGCCCCCCACCATCCTTGTGCTGAGTTCCCGGGTCTGTCCCCCGGCTGTGCCCATTATGAGGGGCCCCCCCCATCCCTGTGCTGAGTTCCCGGGTCTATACACCCGCTGTGCCCATTATGAGGGCCCCCCACCATCCTTGTGCTGAGTTCCCGGGTCTGTCCCCCGGCTGTGCCCATTATGAGGGGCCCCCCCCATCCCTGTGCTGAGTTCCCGGGTCTATACACCCGCTGTGCCCATTATGAGGGCCCCCCACCATCCTTGTGCTGAGTTCCCGGGTCTGTCCCCCGGCTGTGCCCATTATGAGGGGCCCCCCCCATCCCTGTGCTGAGTTCCCGGGTCTATACACCCGCTGTGCCCATTATGAGGGCCCCCCACCATCCTTGTGCTGAGTTCCCGGGTCTGTCCCCCGGCTGTGCCCATTATGAGGGGCCCCCCCCATCCCTGTGCTGAGTTCCCGGGTCTATACACCCGCTGTGCCCATTATGAGGGCCCCCCACCATCCTTGTGCTGAGTTCCCGGGTCTGTCCCCCGGCTGTGCCCATTATGAGGGGCCCCCCCCATCCCTGTGCTGAGTTCCCGGGTCTATACACCCGCTGTGCCCATTATGAGGGCCCCCCACCATCCTTGTGCTGAGTTCCCGGGTCTGTCCCCCGGCTGTGCCCATTATGAGGGGCCCCCCCCATCCCTGTGCTGAGTTCCCGGGTCTATACACCCGCTGTGCCCATTATGAGGGCCCCCCACCATCCTTGTGCTGAGTTCCCGGGTCTGTCCCCCGGCTGTGCCCATTATGAGGGGCCCCCCCCATCCCTGTGCTGAGTTCCCGGGTCTATACACCCGCTGTGCCCATTATGAGGGCCCCCCACCATCCTTGTGCTGAGTTCCCGGGTCTGTCCCCCGGCTGTGCCCATTATGAGGGGCCCCCCCCATCCCTGTGCTGAGTTCCCGGGTCTATACACCCGCTGTGCCCATTATGAGGGCCCCCCACCATCCTTGTGCTGAGTTCCCGGGTCTGTCCCCCGGCTGTGCCCATTATGAGGGGCCCCCCCCATCCCTGTGCTGAGTTCCCGGGTCTATACACCCGCTGTGCCCATTATGAGGGCCCCCCACCATCCTTGTGCTGAGTTCCCGGGTCTGTCCCCCGGCTGTGCCCATTATGAGGGGCCCCCCCCATCCCTGTGCTGAGTTCCCGGGTCTATACACCCGCTGTGCCCATTATGAGGGCCCCCCACCATCCTTGTGCTGAGTTCCCGGGTCTGTCCCCCGGCTGTGCCCATTATGAGGGGCCCCCCCCATCCCTGTGCTGAGTTCCCGGGTCTATACACCCGCTGTGCCCATTATGAGGGCCCCCCACCATCCTTGTGCTGAGTTCCCGGGTCTGTCCCCCGGCTGTGCCCATTATGAGGGGCCCCCCCCATCCCTGTGCTGAGTTCCCGGGTCTATACACCCGCTGTGCCCATTATGAGGGCCCCCCACCATCCTTGTGCTGAGTTCCCGGGTCTGTCCCCCGGCTGTGCCCATTATGAGGGGCCCCCCCCATCCCTGTGCTGAGTTCCCGGGTCTATACACCCGCTGTGCCCATTATGAGGGCCCCCCACCATCCTTGTGCTGAGTTCCCGGGTCTGTCCCCCGGCTGTGCCCATTATGAGGGGCCCCCCCCATCCCTGTGCTGAGTTCCCGGGTCTATACACCCGCTGTGCCCATTATGAGGGCCCCCCACCATCCTTGTGCTGAGTTCCCGGGTCTGTCCCCCGGCTGTGCCCATTATGAGGGGCCCCCCCCATCCCTGTGCTGAGTTCCCGGGTCTATACACCCGCTGTGCCCATTATGAGGGCCCCCCACCATCCTTGTGCTGAGTTCCCGGGTCTGTCCCCCGGCTGTGCCCATTATGAGGGGCCCCCCCCATCCCTGTGCTGAGTTCCCGGGTCTATACACCCGCTGTGCCCATTATGAGGGCCCCCCACCATCCTTGTGCTGAGTTCCCGGGTCTGTCCCCCGGCTGTGCCCATTATGAGGGGCCCCCCCCATCCCTGTGCTGAGTTCCCGGGTCTATACACCCGCTGTGCCCATTATGAGGGCCCCCCACCATCCTTGTGCTGAGTTCCCGGGTCTGTCCCCCGGCTGTGCCCATTATGAGGGGCCCCCCCCATCCCTGTGCTGAGTTCCCGGGTCTATACACCCGCTGTGCCCATTATGAGGGCCCCCCACCATCCTTGTGCTGAGTTCCCGGGTCTGTCCCCCGGCTGTGCCCATTATGAGGGGCCCCCCCCATCCCTGTGCTGAGTTCCCGGGTCTATACACCCGCTGTGCCCATTATGAGGGCCCCCCACCATCCTTGTGCTGAGTTCCCGGGTCTGTCCCCCGGCTGTGCCCATTATGAGGGGCCCCCCCCATCCCTGTGCTGAGTTCCCGGGTCTATACACCCGCTGTGCCCATTATGAGGGCCCCCCACCATCCTTGTGCTGAGTTCCCGGGTCTGTCCCCCGGCTGTGCCCATTATGAGGGGCCCCCCCCATCCCTGTGCTGAGTTCCCGGGTCTATACACCCGCTGTGCCCATTATGAGGGCCCCCCACCATCCTTGTGCTGAGTTCCCGGGTCTGTCCCCCGGCTGTGCCCATTATGAGGGGCCCCCCCCATCCCTGTGCTGAGTTCCCGGGTCTATACACCCGCTGTGCCCATTATGAGGGCCCCCCACCATCCTTGTGCTGAGTTCCCGGGTCTGTCCCCCGGCTGTGCCCATTATGAGGGGCCCCCCCCATCCCTGTGCTGAGTTCCCGGGTCTATACACCCGCTGTGCCCATTATGAGGGCCCCCCACCATCCTTGTGCTGAGTTCCCGGGTCTGTCCCCCGGCTGTGCCCATTATGAGGGGCCCCCCCCATCCCTGTGCTGAGTTCCCGGGTCTATACACCCGCTGTGCCCATTATGAGGGGCCCCCACCATCCCTGTGCTGAGTTCAGGTGAATAGCGGAGGCTGTAGGACATAAATGAGAGTTGTCCCGTGTCGCTGGGGGCGGTCCCTGGAAGCTGACGATCTATTTATACCGGAGATTGGATCTGATCCACGGACGGAGGAGCAGCTGTCTCGGGTCTCAGTCATCGCTCAGCATTTCCATCTGTAAACAGACATGAAAATGGAGTCACTCCTCCGCCACCAAAGCTGCTCATCCCTTCGATGTGTCCTGCCATGAAGTGACAACAGGAAGGATGTTGTTGTATCCAAGGACTCGGGGACGTCTGCACCCTTTATATGAAACGTCCTTCAGCACGCTGACATCCCGCAGCATTGTTCTCCTGAGCCGCTGTGTGATTGGCTGTAGGCTGGCCACAGGGTTAGGGCCGTGCACGTGGAGGGATGTGTGTGACATGTTCGTATTGATGGTGATCCTGGGATATCGGTTATATGTAAAGGGTTAAAGACGTTGGGTGTCAGCTGAAGGTTGTGTCTCTCTTATCTCGGCCTTTTCCTGGTTCCGGACATTGTGCGGTCAGAGATTCTGGGAACCAGCGTGCAAAAATACCCCATGCGTCCTGTTTATATAGAGCGCGGCCTGCAGGACGTCACAGATATCATTACAAAGTATGACATTCGTGCTGATATCGCTTTCTATATCCAATTCAAACCTCCGGCAGAGTCCACGGCCTGACACCCTCACAAATGAAGTGTCTTGTCTCTATTCCCTCATTGATAGCAGGCCTCCCCCTTGCATCCTGTCCCGCTATGACATGCTCAGGAAGGGGAGTGGCCATGCCATTCATAAAATTACTACATGTACCTGGCCGTTATTGAGGTTTCTGCTCACTTCCTGTGTGATCACAAGAAGAGGAAATGAAGGGAAATCTCCCCAATGTATCAAAGACTAAAAAGAAAGGTTTTGTCTGGAGTTTCATTTTACTTGTTACAAATCTTTTCATTCCCATGTTTAGGAAAGTTTACTCTGATGTTTGCTGTCTCATGTTACCTCATTTCATCTCCTCTTTGTCCTTCAGATAACTCGTCTCTCCAAGATGATGATGATGAGCTAGACATGGAGACCGTCAGCTGGCCATCCAACACTGGTCCAGTTAATGGTCACACTGAAACCAGTTCTCGTTTTCCCAGTTGGGTGACTTTTGAAGAGGAAATTGCTCCAACTTCCCCAAGGGACTCTCCCCGAAAACCACCAGAAAGCCCAAAATGTCCTTCAACGCCGGACTCTAAACCTGAGGGAGCCTTAAAAAGAAGGGAACGACCCAAGAGCTCGCTGGTTGACCTAAACAGGACGCAGAGGCTTGACTTCTCATCTTTGCACAGGCAGCTCTCATTAAACTCCACCCCCACAAAGGCTCCCAACCCATTTCTTGATGAGGCCTTGAAAGATGTCCAGCCATCACCAATCAACCCGTTCAGCACGTGGTTTGAGGAGCAGGAGAGACATTCTCAGCACTCTTCTGTATCAAGCGGCCCAGACTCAAGCCAAAGAAATTCCATCTCCCTTCTTGCTGAAGAACTCGATACGGATCAGTTTGAAGATTACCGAAAGAAAGCTTTGCAAGCCGATACTGTAGAACATCTCAAACAGATTCAGCTTGAGGATCCGGATTCCCCTGGAAGTCCAACTCTGCCAGATGACCCTCTGAAATTTGATGAACCCCTTGGCCCTTGTTTGACTTTTATCAAGCCCCAGCCAAAGGATGGCTGGCCGTTGATGCTCAGGATTCCGGAGAAGAAGAACATGATGTCCTCCCGGCACTGGGGCCCTATCTATGTCAAAGTCACTGACGCCGGCTTTCTGCAACTCTTCTATGAGAAAGGTTTGGAAAAGCCATTTAGGGAATTTAAACTCGAGGTCAACCATGAGATAGCAGATCCTAAACTTCAAAACTATGACGAGAATGGCAGGATTCACACGGTCCGCATCGAGCGCGTGGTGTACAAAGAGAAACGCAAGTACCAGCCAATGCCTCTGGTCAGTCACACAGGAGAGAGGGAGCAAGTGGTCAAGCTGGGAACAACCGACTATTCAGACTTTAGAAGTATGGTGGCCTCTATCCAGGATGTCCTGTTCCGCCTTCCAGCCACAGTAGACCTTAGCACTGTGCACCAGAATTACTTAGAGGAGGAGATCACGGTGGATGTGAAAGACGAATTCCGTGGAATCCTTGGCAAGGGGGAAGGCCAGATCCTGGAACACTCTGTGGTCACACACATCCATCTTCTTAGCTTCATCTCAGGTATGGCGGACTGCAGCCTAGGACTTAATGACGTCCTCATTAAAGGGAATGAAGTGGTCTCCAGACATGACATTATGCCAACCACCACCACAAAGTGGGTGAGACTCCACGACTGCCAATTCCATGTGTCTGTAGACGAAGAAGCATTTCACAGCTCCAGGATGGTGGTCTTCACCCCGCTGGATGCTTGTAGGTTTGAAATCATGAAGTTTAGGACATTATTCTCTGAAAAGACTTTGCCCTTCACACTTAGGACCATGGCGTGCATTCGCGGTGCTGAGGTCGAGCTCCAGAGTTGGTTGGTCATGTCCTCGGGTTTCTCCTCCAACAGAGACAGTCTGTCACAGGTCCCTTGTGAGAATATCGCCATTCGGCACCCGGTGCCACCCGAGTGGGTGAACTATTTCCGGAGAGACAGCGTATTGGGTGAGAAGTCCCTGAAGGCCAAAGTCAACAAGGAGGCCAGCTTTGGTTCTCCCACCTTATCTGGGACAGAACCGGCCATGAGGGTCACACTGGGGACTGCGAAGTATGAACACGCCTATAGCGCCATCGTGTGGAGGATCAACAGACTGCCAGATAAAAACTCAGGTGAGAAGCTTTGTTCTGGGATTGCTGAGCGCACTTCATGTCCTGGAACTTTATTACAGGTACTCTTCAATTCAGACGTTTCTGAGGAGTCATCAGAGGTCATCTAAGGTCTAAGCTGGCTGACCTCAGACACTGTCCACCAGCTCCTGAGTGTGCACAACGGCACAAATAGCTGCCCGCCCTATTATCTACGGGGCTTGCAGCCTTAGAACACAGCGTGTGAGGTCAGGCAGTTGACGGGCTTTAAATGTCAGACTTTAGATGACCTCTGAACTCTGAAGCTGCACACTTAGGGTCAGGCACATGAAGCTACACAAGTGGACAAACAATTCATCTTCCCGGCACACGCGATGTCCATGTTCCCTCGTACACCCAGCAGTGGCCATCTGTAGACCAGGCCGTGTATTTATTATCTCTGCAGATCGGCTGTGAGATTGCAGGTTTGGTCGGCTGGCATCAAAAGAAAGGAACAGTAAAGCGCAATCACTGCGCAGCCCTAAGCCGAGAAATGACATAATATGCCAACGTGACACATCTAGGCTGATAATAGACCAATAGGAGCATTTATAGGTCACATCTTGCCTTTGCGTGGACTAATACAGACGTGTGTTGTCCCTTTAAGGATGGGGTCACCCCCACTGCTTCTACTGCCACCTCGAGCTCGGATCTGACCGGGAGGTGCCGCAGTCCTTTGCCAAACACGTGGAGGTGGAATATCACATGCCGGCCACCTCGGCTTCAAAGATCGCTGTGCGTTCCATCTCTGTGGAGGACAAGACTGACATCAAAAAGTGGGTCAACTACTCCGCCCATTATCACTACAAGGTGAGCTCAGACCTACTGAGGAGCTGACACTCTAATGTCCCCTCCCCCACAGTCACAT